AACCTGCCAAAAGTCTAAGCACTAGACTTGGCAGCAGTTTCACTATCAAATTCCTTTAACTCTCCACAGCAATATAAAGAGAGTAAAGGTATTTCAATACTTAAATTAATCTGTTTAAAAAACATTTGAAAAATCCTGCATTTAAGAGACTGAGAACCTCTGCTTTCATTGCAGAAAGTATGAAAACTGATAAATCGGTGATCTTCAGCAAACCAATTTAAAAAATACAGCTAGCTACAATACAGCTGTTGAAACAGAGCTCAGACAATGGTATTTCACTGAAAAACTACTATGCAAAAAGAGCGTAAAAAAGACTCCAGTCCTGCTTCCAGTGAAGTCATCACGCATTTCACCGTTGATTTAAAAGCACCGACTTCAGCCTGGATACTAACAAAAGCATCAATAAATATTATGGCTATATGCATTAATGCCTGAGGAGTTTCCAATTTTGCGGTGATCTACTCAGATTCTGCTGATCTACTACACGGGGTGAGTATTCAGATGACAGAAACAGGAGGAGATATCAATCTTCTTTCAAAATTATATGGAATAAAGCATCACTAATGGCACTACTCTCAAAAGCAGACTGTTTTCTGGATGAGATAAATTGTTCTGGGTGGACAGAAGAAATGACCCATATAATTCTGAACACAATTTCTTCATAGTTAGCCAACATCAAAGAAAAGTGTCATTTCTTAGATGAAAAAAGATATGTATTCATTAATTTCAAATGACCTGTGTTCTTTAGTTCCCCTGTCTTACGGATTCCTATCACCTATTAAGCATTTGAGTTTCTCTGATGGAAAAAAATGTACAGTTTACACACTTGTCAAGTTTATAACAGCATTCATAACACAGAACTACAAATCCAGGGTTTGGGCTTCATTCCATGTGTATTCACTGTATCTTATTGTTATATCCATGTGATTATTACTTATTTTGTATTCCTGCATTGTACACATTGCACAAAAACAGAGCAATGAATATGTGCTCCCTTCAAAAATTCTAAAATTTTGATTACACTTTTTAAAAGTTATGAAATACAGAAATTTAGCACCTCAAATTTTTTTGTACTGACAACGTAACTATTTCTCACCATTTTCTATATAGGAATATTCTGGTCTAGCTGCTATGACAATGTGATCTTTTATTCTTACTTTCCATTTGAATTCAGGGTTAAAAAAACCCCACATTTGCTCCCTAGCAAATCAAATTGAGATGTACAGCAAGAAATTTACATTTAGAAAGAAAAAGTGAACTTCTAATATGGTAGTAAATTGGTTTTGACTTTTCTGTCAAGGCACTCTGGAGACAGTTTGATCCTGTTCTCTAGTACATTGGCCTCAATGCCCCCTACCATCAGAAAAAAAATCAGCTGCAATGCATACATATTACTCAGTGATTTCCCAAAACAATTGGCAGTATGTATTGTGTATCAGCAAGCAGGTTCAAGTTCAGCTAGAGCTTTGCCAAACTCAAGGAAGCATAGCTGTATAAAATGAAGATTAAAAAGAAAAGATGTAGTAGTGGAAAGCCATTTTTAAGTTGCTTTTAACATATCTGTATCTTCTGAGACTATGAACATGGTTAGACTTCATCACATTGGACACAAACCCAAACTGCTCAGCTCTCTTCATATTCTGTTCTAACATACAGAAGGAGAGACCCACAACACTTTGGAACATGATCTTCTAGTGCACATGTCAAATATTCAAATCATGTAGCTTCTTCTCATTAGCATTCATTGCCAATGGGCCAATATTCAGGAATATACACACTAAGGAACCTACTGAGAATAAAAGCCAAGCTATTTTGCTGCATAATGTACATCAAGGATATAACTTATTAAGACAAAACTCACAAAATGAGTAACTAAGAAGCTTCCTTCTGAAATATTAAAAGTATGTTTTGTTCTCTAGCCAATCCTCCTGACATTGCAAACTGTCTACACCCCAAAGATGTCCCTGTCCATAAATATTGAACACATGCTCCTAATGTATTTGCTAAACAATTTGGCACTGTCACTTCGTAAAAGACATTAACTATTAACATAGCTTTATGTTGTAAAAAGGACAAAAAAATCCTGTGGCTCTTACTTTTCTGAGTAATTCTCTCATTTGTGTCTGGACAAAAGAACAAAGCACCAGAATGATTCCAATCGTGTTTACTATCACAGTGCAATTTAAAAAGAATGTATCAATTATATTGGCAAGCTTATATGTATGCCATGTAGAGAAAATGACACATAGCTGCACTAACAAAAGCAGAAGGAATTATCAAACTAGCATACAAGCAAGATGTTGTTGGTTGGTTGAAAATATCTAAAGTATCAAAAGCTCTCTAACAAAAGCCCCTATACTTTTGCCTTCCCAAATAACAAAAACCAGGATTATGATGCTAAAATTCATATTGGTATACATGACATGAAAAAATTGTGTTCAAAATACAAGCCCAGTTCTTATCCTCAGTATACTGCCACTCCTATAAGACAATACAAACCTCATTCCTCAGTTCCTTACAGAAAACCCAACTATTCTATTGGGTGACGCTAAATGTAATAAACCAAAATGCAATATTGTTGAAAAACCAATTGTGACCACAATTAGTAAAATGACAACATTTCATTCAAGCACAGAATCCATTCAAATTGACCGCAATTACCCACACTTGTTCTTTTTCCCATTACGTTTTGCAAATTATATCCTTAAAACAGGTAATTCAGTAAAAAGAAAGATTACTTCATTCTGGTTTTAGCCTAGATCATTGTCATAGAAGCTCCTAAGGCAATGGTACAGTATTTTATCTTTTCTTTGGAATCAGCTAAAAACCTGGATAATGTACAGCAGTTTATGAAGTACAAGACTAAAATGAAACCTTTAAGGAATATAGATCAGAAATTAAAGAACTGCTTTGCCCCAACTTGCAGAATGAATGAGGAATCAACATTAAGAGATGAGGAAGCATCCTAAGCTAAGTATCATATAAAAGCATTAACAGTGAGAGAGAAAACAAGTGGTGTATTATAGCTACTGAAGAAAGCAGAAACAACATTGCATATATCTAATACATGCGTTAAAGTAATGCTGTAGCCTTTTTTACCAACCAGCCTGCAAGATTGGGATTCACCTCACTCACCTCCAGACCCTACAGCTGAGCTCATCAGCCCAGGTTACAGGCTTTAGGGTCAGTGGGCGCAGCAGCCGTAAGACTCATTTTTTTGGAAGTCTACTTTAGGATGAGAATAATCATACCCTAGAAGTGCCCTTTTCCACCCAAGTAAAAAGGGGAACTCAGAGCAACTGGGTGTAGGAGTTCACATTGCAGAGATCCTCACTCAGTCAGATAAACTGCACCACCAGTAAGAGAGGAACAGGTATACATTCAATGAGTGCCAATAAAACCAGGGAAAGAATAGAAAAAAATATGGTAAGTGCATCTGTGTGTCACCTCCTAACAGTAAATGAATCAGAAGGACCAGTTTAAAACTATAAGAAATTAGAAGAATTGGATAATCTAAATTATTGGTTTAGGATTAGGGATAGGTTTAGGATATAGACTTAGGGATTAGGAAGCATCCATTGCTGACAGGTAGAGGCTGATTTGAGCCCTTCACAGGAACATCTATCACCCTTTCAATATCTTTCATAGCAGAAACTATTGTAACTCTGGATGCCTTTGTGGTCCATCTACCATCCTGATCCCGAAAGATGGAAAAGATAACTCAGAAGGTGAAGGTTAGTGACTGTTTGTTAATGGGCATCTACCTCCTTGGAGGTAGAGAAAATAGAAACTGTGAGGAAAGAAGTGGAAGCAAGAGAGACATTTGTGCTAACTGCATAAGAATATTAAAAAAACTTTAGCCCCTGGATACATACTCAAACTAAGAAATTAATTATGTTTTATGGGTTTAGAAATAATCCAGTTATAAAAATAATCCTATCCAAAGGTTTGCAAGAATATTTACCTTTCCAAACCACAACCATCTGAAAATAGTCCAGCACTTTTTTTTTTTTCCAAACTAGCTAGATATTCACTATCCCTGAAATAAATTAATACTAAAGCGAGTTAAAAAAAAGTTTGATCCTGTTCTTCTTAACATTCACATAATGATTTTCAGGATAAGTCTTCTCAAAGCCTGAGTTGCTATATAGTTACAAATGCAAGGACCAATGTACAATTTACAGAGACAAGTATCCCAATTATCAAGGAAATGCAGGAAATAATAATAATGTTAGTTACCCTTTATGAAAGAAAATTACTTCCATGGTCCCATAACTTTTCTTTTTCAGCTTCTACAGATTTTATAGTTGCATAATACTGCCTGTAACCTAACTTGCCAGGAGCTAACGGTAAGACTGAACAAACAAAATCCGCTCTGTCCTCACATCAGACCTTTTTATCAAATTCAGCTGAAGAACAGATGACCTTTAACAGCAGCATGTTTCTGTCAAACAGCCCTGACTGGCCTTTCAACAACATCAGGAGAGTTTGCTCTACCCAGTGGTCCCTCCGATTGCAGCTACGTGGTATCTTTCCGGCAGCAGTACGAACTGTCACCCCTTAGACTCTGATCCAAGTGTTTCCAAAATATGCTGCTAAACAGCAATGCCGGCACCCAGTAGGGGCTCTCTTTTCTAGGACAAAAGCCACCCTTTTGAAAGCAGAATGTATTCAGCAATAGTAGAATACACCCTTTCAACATCTTCTTGTACACAGAAAAGTTTCCCTTTACTTAGTGAACCACAGAGAAGCAAAACTAGATGTTAATTTGGATTGGAAAACTTGCATGCCTAACGCCTAGATGGTAGGTAAAGCAATATGAAATATGACAATTTTCAGTTCCCACAGATGGCTATTTAATACAGTTCAAAAATCTAAGGTAGTGCAGTCACATGGGTAAATGGATACTACGAAGAAAAATTGAAGGGTAGATGCTCATGTTCAAAGGTACGGTTGATAATAAATGTAATAAATGTAATGTAATAGCAGTGAATTCTTACTCTTCTAAAGCCTGACGCATGTTCCCAGATTCTTCAAAGGACAGAATATCGATGATTTGATCGTTCATAATTATATCTTCACTGAAGAGATCACCTGAATTAAACTGAGAATGCTCCAGTCTGTGATTTTCATTGAACTCATGCTGCATCTCCTAAAAAAAACCCAAAAACTAAGTAAGCTTCAGATTATAAAAAAAATTTACACTGAGTGTCTGATCTAATTTTATTGCAGGTAACTCTGGGTGAGTTATCATCAAACTGTACAGCTGGAAAGGGCATAAAGAGATCGTGCAATTCAGATACATATCTAAAATCAAATATACTACTTTTGTTTCAGGCTGAACTTTTTGTATATAACTGATCCGGAATACAAATGAAAAAATTAACGAAGAAGACAGAAGACTCTACACTGATTTCAGTAGGCTTGTGAAAGCCTTCTAGGAGGTTAACTTTCTAGGCCCATTTTTAAAAAATTACCATGATATACAAATTATATATGGCAAGATTACACTATTACAAGGTGAACAGAATGAAAAACTAATCCTATGAATGATGGAAGTAACTCAGTTCCCAGTTCAGTGAGACTCCTTTGAGACTAAGAGCTAATAAAATTACTATACAAAAAACCAGTATAAATATCTGATGCTAGGACCAAACTGGCCCTTTTTCATGGTTTCATTATCACAGCTTTTTCCATAAAAAGAAATAAGGCACACCCTTTTCATTTAAAGAGATTATTTTTTCAGGCCTAGAAGAAATAAAAATGGTTGATGGAGTAATTTTCAACCTCAGAAAATAAGGCTGGAAGTGAGTTGTGAGCTCCTCTGGTCCGTCCAGAGGGATGGGAGATCCACCACCATCCGAGCAAAGGAGGGATTCAAACCTCCGAGCACACCTCTCTTAGAGGACTGCTCCAATCACTGTAATATTCTGATTGAGGTCTCTAGCTCCCTCCCCTTGAAGTTGTTCCACTTTACATAACTACCTCAATAATTAATAGAAGCAAGGGCTGGAACTTGGACCAACCTGACGAATATTTATCGAAGACTGTATTTTCTCTCTTCAGTACGTACTGAAACACTTTCTCCAAACTAGCACAGCTTGGATAAAGAACACTGAAAATGCTCCATCCCCAAACCCAACTGTTTTGCTTAATCACAAGAGACAGGCACATCCAAGGAACTAAGACCTAAATTCAAATCCCTGTTCCTGATAATCAGAAATACAATTTGGACCCAAGCTCGAGGTGAGTGGTCTACTCCCTGGGCAACTGCTTATAACCCACAAACATCCTCCCTCTCTCTCATTTGGGGGGATGAAGAGGAGAGGAGGAAGGGAGGAATATGAAAAGAAATGAATAGCCAAAGGGTAACCTCCCTCCAGTCTGAAGCTAACATCCAGGTACTGACAGCAGTTCTTTTGATCAGATTATCATTCTTACACTCCCCTCTAAATCTGATTGTGCTAAAGATTAGAGGTTGTAGAGATTACACTGCCTGCAAATCCAATCCATCACTTGGTGGCTTTTTATTTATCTTCAAAAACTCTTCAGACAATCTGTATTAGTTAGCAAGTTATATCATCAGATATGATCAATGAAAAAATTTAAATAAAGTACTGCTACAGACAGTATGACTCACCTGGTTTTTACTATGGAAACTCCATTTTAATATTTGGGTTCGGTAAACAATGAAAAAACCAGCACATGTCAATACAAGGGAAACAAAAAAAGCAATGAAGAACCCTGAAGCATGGATGGCATGGCTGTACGAAATCTGAAATTAAAAACCCATATTATTAAAACTACATTTTAAATATATATAAAGATCAGACTCAAAGATTGTATCTGTAAGCAATATAGTAAATTATTTTTAAATGGCCTCACGCAACTTCAGGGTTTCTCAGCATTAAGTTATAATTACTACATTTTTATTAACATTTTCAAACAAGTGTCTGTTTTCCATAGGTTTTCAAGTCAGCATGGTTCGTTATGTTCACCTAGTCCAAATACCTGTGTAACTCCAAGCAACAGAACTCCCACAGATTGAATTTTAGGTGCTGTACTTAACAGCCTGTTTTCCAGTGTTGCCAACCTCTCCTAAGTCTCGTTGAAATTAATGGCATTTGATGTTGCTTAGAGACTCCAAAAAATCAGTCTAATGTTGGCTACCTTTAATTAATGGCCTTTTCTCTGTTCAATAAAACTCAGTAATCACCACAGGGAAAAAGCACCAATGTGAGTTCAGCATAAGTATGTAACCGACAGTTGACAAAACCCCCCAATTTGTGTGCACCCTTGCAGTTTCTGCAGAAGCCAGAGGCAGAAAAGAATAGCAGGAGCACCGGAACCACGAGCCAGCTAACAACTTCGCAGGCCTTTCACTTTAGCTCTTAATTTAATCTTTAAATTGAATTGCATTAAACATTAATTTTTACTTCATACTCCACGAGGCAAAAGTTAATTCAGTGTTTGTTTAGTTCTTTGAGATTTCTGGATGAAAAACATAATACAGCCATTAGTAGAATGTTTCACCACAAACTAATCACTCTGCTGGGGCCAGAAAGTGTAAATAATTAACATGCTGCTTGCAAGCTGGGCTTGGTCATCTCTTGGAGCAGAAACCTGAGAGCATTCCATGGAGTCAACAGTAATTCTGCATAGGAAGCGATAATCAAACGTGGTCCACAATTTGAAAAGGATTTATTTATTTTATTATTCCAATTTAACAGCAGAATTTTATCCTTTTACTGCCTAGTTTTTCTCTCTCTGATATGTTTTTGTACACTGAAAATCTGTCGTAACTCTAACTGAAAGGAACTGCTTAACGTCAGGCTTTGTTTCACAGGCTCAGTTCTCAAAGCTGCTGGAGATGCTCAGCACTCATTGATTTCAACGTGATTTCAATTGAATTAGGCAATGGTGTCAGTGTCAAAGAAATCATCAAGACGTTAATACAGGCTACTAATTGGCACTTGCACAGTTCCAAGAAGAAGATCCAAGGTTTACTTCACAGTATTGTACATACAGAATCAACAATTGCTCTGACTGACAGAGGTATGTTTGGTTTGTTTTTTTGTTTTATAGAATCATAGAATGGTTTGGGTTGGAAGGGACCTTAAATGGGGACACCTTCCACTAGATCAGGTTGCTCAAAGCCTCATCCAACCTTGCTTTGAACACTTCCAGGGATGGGGCATCCACAACTTCTCTGGGCAACCTGTTCTAGTGTTTCACCACCCTCACAGTAAAGAATTTCTTCCTAATACCTATCTAAATCTACCCTCTTTCAGTTTAAAACCATTAGCCCTCTTCCTATCCTACACTCCCTGATAAGGAGTCCCTCCCCACCTTTCCTGTAGGCCCCCTTTAAGTACTGGAAGGCTACGATAAGGTCTCCCCAGACCAAATTCTAGGCTAAACAACCCCAACTCTCTCAGCCTGTCCTCATACGGGAGGTGCTCCAGCCCTCTGATCATCTTCGTGGCCCTCCTCTGGACCCGCTCAAGCAGGTCCATGTCTGTCTTATGCTGGGGGCCCCAGAGCTGAACACAGTCCTTCAGGTGGGGACTCACCAGAGTAGAGTAGAAGGGCAGAATCACCTCCCTCAACCTTATTTTTCAATGTGCTTAGTCTAAAATAATGAAACCCTTGAAGAACTTTGAGGTTCACTAAAATGTTTTGGGACTAAGTATTTATCCAAGTAAGCCAGCCATGTGCTGAATTCCTTCTAATACCTTTCAGTATCTTTAAGTTTTAAATGGAAACAAGAAGGAAAAGAAAACGAGGAGCAACACATTAATTTGCAGGTTCCACATGTAATTACCAACACATTGTCTGAATGTTTTTCTTGTTGTAGCTTCCTACTGCTTTTGCCAATTGCTTCCGTTATGCTCCCCTGTACCATGGGCGACCACTAAGGACACCCAGCACATCTACATCAGCATCAGTACGAGCTCTCTCCTCTGATTCTGCGCTGCCCCCCGCTTCCTTGCCACAAGCTCAGTTAAAGCTGCATCACTTTGCATTGAAAGATGATTATGTAAATATTAAATAACTCCTTTCCCTAACCCAGTGTTTACTCCCTTCACAGATCAAAAGGTTTTTGCCCATACCCCTTGAACAGTCACAGAGCCAACAAACATCTGTGTGTGACTTGGAAAAAAGCAATTCCTCTTAAGTCAATCTGCTGTCCCCAGCTTCTCCATTGCACTAGGTGGTCAAGAGGGAATCACAGAAGGATTCTCCTTGAGCTTTGCCACACCAAGACTCTGCCTGAGGTCCCACCGCCTTCAAGGAACAGGAGATGCTGTAGATAATACTTAGGGGAAAAAATGCTGCTTTGGAACCACTTCATAATTTTGTCTGACTTCACTCGCATTTGTCTAATTTCCAAGCACTCCATGAAATGTACGGATCTCTCTAGGCTTCTGGGGAAAGCAGGAATCTGGTGAGGCTATGGGTTCAGTGAAGCTGAAATGAAGCTGGTTAAGTTTTGATGGAGAAAAAGTACTGGCTAATGAATAATCCTGTGCTTTCTGAGTAAAGTAAAAGGCGAGACCTATGGTGGGACAGTCAGTCTGCATCAGGGCAGGCAGTTCTGTCAGAGGTTAAGCTCCAATGGAGAAAAATGGACAGGGAATGATCTATGCTTTTATACTTAAAGAAAATGGGTTCTGGAAGGACAGTCCATGTCATTAGGGGGCTGTAAACCCAAGCAGGAGGACACAGCAGGTGCCAAATGGCATCTGAAAGCATCACAGCGGATGGTACGGGGCAGGTGCCAGAGCCCCTGCACAAGCCACAGCGTAGGACCAGTGTTGGCACTGCAGGCCGACCTTCAAACTACTGACACACCAATGAGCCTCAAAACCCATATCCTAAGCTAACTTCTTAAGCCATCCCAATAGTGGGAAGAGGCATTACAGGCCCAAGTTTCTTTCAAAAACTGCTGCACTCCCACTGATTTGAAGGACGCTGAGGGAAGCAAGCCTGGTAAAAATCAGAAAAAAAATCAGAAAAAAGTAATTATTATCATCCATCCCATGCAACGTGCTTAGATGGGAGAACTTTCTCTTGTCCTTTTCACTATAGTTTCCTATTCAGCATCAAAACCACTCAGCCAAGGGCAGAGGCACACAGTACTCACAGCCCCTGAAGCGCTGTGGGAAGACATCTGGCACGGAGACTCAGATGAGCACCACTCATATTTTTTCATAACCCACAAAATTACCTTGTCACAGGCAACCAAGCACTTCCTTCCAGCAGCGCAGAAATGAAAATCCACAGGGTTTATAAAACTTTAAAGAACAGCACAGTAGACAAGTGTGCAAGCAAACCATGTGAAAGCTGATGGGACCAATTTAGCATGGCACTGCCACGACTACATAATTAATTCTTCTCTTTTCTGTCCCCAAAGTCAACATTTAGTATCCACTTAGTCACATGTGTGTTGGCTTTACCACACCAATGAACAGGTTTAAATAATGATTGTTAATAAGTAAAATCTGAGATTGAGAGCATTTATGACAGCTGAAGATATGGATGAAATACAATACATCGCACCTTTTTCAGCTGATCATAATTTCCTTGCACAAACTGATTTCATTCTGAAACACCTTATGCTTGGCCACAGCCCAAAGGCAAATATTATGCACGTGAAACATGATGTGTTCCATAATTTCTAAGCTTCATTTTTCAAAAAATAACAGTATTCTTCACACACCTTTACCACACATTTTAATTACAAAACCTATTCTTTTAGTAAGTTCAAATGCAGCTGAGCTAATTTTACCTAACTATGGAATAGTCCCCAAGAACTTTTTGAGGTCTAACTATCAAGTTCAAGTTGGAAAAAATCCACACCACAAAGGTTTTAAGTATAGTAATAGATTGCAGGAATTTTCACGGTGGGCTGAGACCAATGTAACTTACAGTCTTAGCGCAGACATCACCAACTGCTGCAGATCAATTCACAATGAGCTCTACAGAAAAATATTCGTGAAGCTGTGTTTCTAACCCAGTCAACTACTGCATGGCTTACACCTTCAAGAATAAGAGTTTCCAAAAAATACATTTACGGTAATTCCAAGCATAATTCTTAGCTATACAAACATCCAATCCTTTTAAATCTTACTAGATCTTTATCCAGGAACAACGAGTTCTCTAGCTCATGTATAGTTTTACTTTATGTCATGTTTAATTTTGGTATTCATTTTAACAGAATGGGCACTTGATCTTCAATTATGAGAAAGCTAAGTCTGGACTTACATCTATTACACTCATAGAAGCTAAGAGGGCAAGAGATCCCCAGCAAAAGAGAATACTGGAACAAGAGGCCCCTGTGCCCAATCTCCAAATAGACTACTGATTTTAAAGGTGGAGAGGAACTCTGGGACAGGCCCATGGAAGGAATGAGTGGTCTAGTCCTCAGGACTTCTTCAGGTAAGCCCCATCCACATGAACTTTAGATTTCAAATGATACAACCATGGCAAAAATGTTCTGGGGTGAAACAAACCATGTTCTTCTCCCTGAACACAAATAATCACAGTGTTCTTGCCAACCAAGCCACAATTCCTTAAAAAAAGACTCCTTGCAACACAGCAGCCTGTCAAGGTAATGAGGGGTTGGGGGAGAAAAACAAGTTTGGTGAAGAGATTACTCTAGTAACAAAACTGATGGATGCAGTGGGGATTTCCCTGATTAAAAAAAAAGCTAGAAGAATGACACTGTTTGCTGCAATCAATGTAATTCTGAAGGTTTATTTGGCCTCTTGGAAACCATGTTATTTCAGAAGCCAAGAACAGAAAGTCATATTGGAAGGATGACTAGTTAAAAAACAAAAGGCAAACATAAACTATGCCTCTCTGACTGCGGTTTTATTTCTCAGGCTCCCCACACAGCTGTTTTCTGATTTGTGTATCGGCATGATACAGAAACCTTTTCTCAATAGGTAGAGGATAACTCCACCCTTTTCGAAAGGCAAAAAGCTTTCCCATGGTGGCTAGTCACAGAAGCACGTGAGCATATTCCTCATCACAGTTCTTTGTGCCTGGTCAATTCTTCAAATGAAAAAACATGGCTAGGAATATAATGGAAGTTTGTAGATTTTCCACACTAAATATTGCTGCTTTAAGACAACAAAGATCCCCTATCTTGACTCCTGTTTTCTTCCTCTTAAAATCAGAGACAGCAAAACTTGTGTATGATTAATAGCCTACAGCTGAGTGATGAGATATAAGTACATAACTACATCCTTAGCTCCTAGGATTTAGTTTAGATTTCCCTAAGTTTAAGCAGGAGACTCAGCGTAATACCAAATCATAGAGTTTACCTTGGTCTTTTCTTCTTCAGTTATGGTGAACGATGCTGTCAATGATACGAGATGTGTTTTATTCTGAGAGATACAAAAATATTACGTGTATTAAAAAAAATGAGCAGAATCCACTGGCAAACAGTCCAGAGTCTCTGGAAAAGCCTCTACTTAGAGGATAAGCTATACTTCTCATTAAGCTTAAAGCTGAAATAAATCTGATAGGAAAATGCAGTTTACTTAAGGATAACACTAACAGACATGTTGGTTGCCAAAAAGGACTGTCGTCGTTTAATCCCAGCCAGTAACTAAGCTCCACCCAGCCGCTCGCTCACTCCCCCCCGGTGGGATGGGGGAGAGAGTCAGAAGAGTAAAAGTGAGAAAACTCATGGGTTGAGATAAAGACAGTTTAATAGGTAAAGCAAAAGCCGTGCACGCAAGCAACGCAAAACAACATTCAGTACATCCCATCGGCAGGCAGGTGTTCAGCCATTTCCAGGAAAGCAGGGCTCCATCACATGTAATGGTTACTTGGGAAGACAAACACCATAACTCCAAACGTCTCCCCCTTCCTTCTTCTTCCCCCAGCTTTATATGCTGAGCATGACGTCATACGGTATGGAATACCCCGTTTGGGGTCAGCTGTCCTAGCTGTGTCCCCTCGCAGCTTCTTGTGCACCACCAGCCTGCTCGGTGGTGGGGTGGGGTGAGAAGTAGAAAAGGCCTTGACTCTGGGTAAGCACTGCTCAGCAGTAACGAAAACATCCCTGTGTTATCAACACTGTTTCCAGCACAAATACAAAACATAGCCCCATACTAGCTACTATGAAGAAAATTAACTCTATCCCAGCCAAAACCAGCACAATGTGCTCTGTGGGATACACTCCCCTTTAATCACACAGAGGCATATTCCGGTGTTCATAGAATTACATTTTTCTGTGCCTATAAAATCTGGGTTGACTGAAAATGCATGGAACAGGAGCCATAATCAGTGCATATGTCTCTACTCTTACAATTCCCTATTTCTTGAAGTCTTGCTCTCTACCACTCTAGTACCACTCTTATGCACATTGAACATTCTTTCCCCTAAAACAAAGGAGATACAGCAGTTGAAATAAAAATACATCTACAGGTTCTAATTACATGCAGTTATGAAAACCACACAAAAAATATCAAGCCATATTTAAGAATCAGAAAATTTTACTTTGGAATAAACCACTTGTCCTGCCTCCTACTCAAAGCTGGGCTAACTCCAGCGTTAGACTAGTTGTCTCAGAGCCTGGTGCAACTGAGTTCTCAAATATCAGCAAGGATGGCGATTCCTCAACTTCTCTAAAAAAATCTTTCAGAGCTTCACAACTCTTACACTAAAAAAAAAGTCTTCCTTATCAGCAAGGTGGTTTTCCTTTGCTGCAACTTGTTTTTTTGGTTAAAAGAAATTATTTGCTGATAAAAATATGGCAAAACTTTCAATCTCTCACAGACTATGGGAATACACACATAAGTATGTGGAACACCATTATTTCCAGGATACATAGATAAACTGGAGAGAAATACAAAAAGTACAGAGAAAAGCTACAGGACAACACACAAACATACTTCACCTATTTAAGGAGGTCTAGGACTTCCCAAGCTATGAAGAATAACTCATGTATTTATAAATTCATGGTAAACAATCAAAAAGCCTAAGAACTTCATTTCATTACTTGCAGGCCTCATTGCTTAGGCAGACAAGAACCACCTTGGAGACTTTTTTTTTTTTACAAAAATTGTGAAGAGCAAAACAAAATTGTAAAAGAAATACCTGTGATGAACTCCTGAAAGTTAGCTTTGCAGGCAGTGTCAAGACCCTGCCATCCCACATTTCTTTTGCATCAAGAAGTGCAGAGTAGTTGATTGCAAAGTGTTCTCCACCTGTTAAAACAGAGAAAAAAACCCCAATTGTGTAGATTAAGCAGGTGAGGTACACCTGCCAGCAATAGTGGCCTCTAAGTAATTGTGTCTGCATTTTCTTAAATAGAACAGTAGCTACACTGACTTGAAAACAACTCAGTAGTTGCACATCTTTTTTTACACAAGAAGACTGGGTGTGAATCTCTGAAGAGCTGAGCACCCAGCCGAGCTCAGCTGCAGTTACAGATGTTTGCAAAATTTGAAAAGCAAGTTCAATATGAATAAAACATCTGAGATTCCCCTTTAGACTGTGCTTCCTCACCAGCAAAAGTGCTCTCCTAGGAACCAAGCTGCAGTAAGCTCACAACACTGACTTCAAGGGAATTCAGCAGAGCAGGCAGCCAGAGCCTACCAGCATAGTCTAGAGAGGAAGGATAGGGATAGATTTGCTCTGTCCCAGGAAAATTTCTCAAAGATCCCTGGGAAAGGCTTGGAACAGCACTGGAGCTTCTCCTTTCTGACACAGCAGATGCCCCACATCCAGAGTAGACAGTTCCTGGCCATATGAGCCCAGCAACATCCTTTGTATCTGCTGCCTCCAAGAACTCAAGCAAATTTGGCCTGGGATCTGGAAACTGCATTAAAGGATGCCTCAAGCTACTGAAAAGCATCATGTTTTGACTGATACTAAAATTCAACATGAGATATTTAAAAATATTTTTTTTTTACAAAATGGACAGCCTAGATTAGAACCAGTAACTGGCTCGTTCTCCTCCCATTGAAACCAAAGAGAAATCTGACTGAGATTTCAGCTGAATTTTGATTCACAGTGCACTGGAGCACTGAAAAATTATTATGGCTAACATGCAGCATGACAGTACATAGGCCAGTATAGGCACAGCCTTTCTGTCCAGCCCTAGTGGCAAGGTATGGGATGAGTCCAGGACTGACATAGTAATGACCAAACCTTAAACTATGCAGTAATCTGTTCTGCTGGATTTTCTTCCACTTCAGTATTCTTCATGCTGATTCACGCAACGTATATGGGCTGGAAAAGCTACCTTCAGTTCCAGATTCAGTAATTATAAAAAAATTAAATAACTGCTCCAACTTGGTTTATTAGATCAGCTCTGTGAGCCATTTTTCTATTCCTTCTCAGGGATCATTCTTAGGAACCTCTGTTGAGAGCCAGCAATTCTTTGACATTTTCAAAAAAGACAGCCCTGTAATCAGTACCACTACTCACACTGCTGTTATTAGAAATGGAGTCTGGCTATCCATTTGCAATCAGACAGCAGCCCTACTTATTTCCCTTTCCTATTTGGAAATCTTTCACCAGTAAAACACTATCATAACCCTAGATACTTCAACCACAAACAGGTATCACTGAACACTTCTGAAGCTCCAAGAGAAATATCATGACTCTCAAAAGCAAGCTGCTAATTTTCTATGTGCTTGTGCTTAGGAAAAAGGAGATGAAGAAATCAAGAAAGGTAAAATTTTATTGATGTGCAATGATCCAACTGCTACCAAAGGAACAGACTGACTCCTAGAGTAGAACAGGTTTATCTCTCTATTACTTGCTTTGATTTTATAATTTGCTCAGTTTGGGGAGAATGGATACTGAGAAGAGCTGCCTTATTTCTGATGAATCATCTTGCCTGCTTGCATGGCCTTTTACAATTCCAATGCACCTCAATATCTCAGGAAGCCAATTTGCCACACTTAGCTAAAGAAGGAAGACTCGTCAGATATGATTAAAATGGCTTGTGCAGCAGCTTTTAAAAACATCCAAAATGAACAAATACTATCATGAAAGATTCTGTTTCATTTTGATGGCAGCGACTTTTACAGAGTACAGGCGCTCACTTCTGTGCCTAGGAGATCAGAAGCAGTTCAAATGTGGGAGTCAAAATGTGAGTTAATAGAACTGTAAATGGCAGCACGAAATCTTTCGCAAAGTTTTTCACCTGTATTAACTGATAATCGGAGAATTTACACCACCAAAAATAAATAAATAAATATCATGATTTGAACAGATGCTCTTCCACATGTGTAATCATGGGTACTTCCCTGCAGATTTTGTTACCTTGCAAGAATCTTTTCCTGTAAATCTGTATGCCACCTGTCGTCTTATTTCCACTGTTTTTTTGAACGTGTAAACCAGTGATATTGTCCAGGATGATAAGATCTGTAATATTTGCTGAGAGCAGCGTGTTGGTGTTATTAATCAGAAGTGTAATGTATGCAGTTTGAGGGTCATGTTCAACATCCACCTGAAAACAGAAATATTAGTATTAATGGTGCAAAATGGCTGTATGTGCATCTTAACAGCAAAATTCATAGTCTTGATCACTAATACAAGTTCATTATATGTGTAAACTGATTTTCTGAAGGCATCCTGAGCGACATGCAAATGGCACTACACTCAGTTTGATCTCAAACTCACAAAGAGATTTTAATCTTTGGTATGTCAAGCTGTTGCTTGGAGACAAAGGGACAGAAAGCCAGAAGTTGGAAACCCAGCTCACGCAGAGCCAGAAGTGAAAACAAGAATCTGAATATCCCCATGATGCCTCATACAACACAGAACTGGATCATAACTTTATAACCATAGTCTGGAAAATTCTTAACTTTGAACTTCTGTACGACGAGGATGTTTCTTTTGCAAGCTGCCCTCACTGCAAATTCATTTTCTCCATGCAGTTTTGTTCTCTATTTCCCTTTTTTCATGGCAACTGCACTCTCCGAAGGGTGCCGGCTGCCTCGATTCACCTTTCCCATGGGAGGGCTGATAGAGCGGCCAGTGGGCTTGGAGTTCATGACTCCGCTTCCTGTTAGTGGTGAAGTTCATATGCTAATCACCGATCTCTAGCAACACGCACTCATGTGATTTTATTTATTTATACCAGTAGGCCGTTAACTCTTATTGAGTAATTATACCCTCTAAATGAAATTACTTTGAGCACAGAGTTGCTTAATGACCTCTCATCTTCAAATTGCCTTCCCCTATAACTCATATTAAACCAGAATTGTCTAAAACTTTATCAGGTCTATAATATGCTGGCCTATAGTATAGCCATGATGGTATATCAGGCTTCTAATAACGACACCAGATTAACACTTATTTAACTGACCGAAGTATGATTCAGGCCGAGCCTTTCTCTTTTTCCCTCCTCCTTTTTAGGAAATGTCAACTCTGTATCTGGACATCAGCAAAATAAATAATAAAGCAGCCCCCACAGAAATTAGTTCTAAAAATAGGAATTGTGATAGACTTCAGAATTCATAGCAGCCACAGGGTTCGACATACGTAGTTTTGATTTCATTGTGCACCACTGATCTCTGCATTTCGTATTAATTCAGTATAAAAAGATTACAGTTTTAGGATATCTTATGAATGAAGGAGAAGAAACAGTTTATTGAAATTATTATTGCTTAGTTTGCATTTTTCTATTTAAGTGACAATAATTAAATATTTGGCATTCGAATAAATCTGTTTATATATAACTAACTCTCCTTGGTATACTACACTAAATTTTCCAAACTCATTACAGCAAGTTCAACCTCAATTCTATTAAACAAATCTTATGGAGGAAAAAAAACAACTATTTATTGTACTAGATTCTGCAAATAATTGTCAGCATGTATAAAAACAGGCTTAACCATATTTGTGAGGAAAGCATTACCAATTTCATATGTTTGTATATAATGAATTATACCCCAACATTTATGAGACTTAAAATCACCAAATATTAAAAATGTGATACATTTGGGGCAGATTTTTCTTTTCCTGGTTTCCGAACTGGCAAGATGCAGTCAACATGCATTTCAACCTTTCCTGTGCAGTCACAAAGGCTAGAAAGTTGCTTTAAAAAGCACAAACAAAATGAAACAGGGAAAAAAGCCTCAAAGCCACATAAAGGAAACCCAAAGCCACAAAGCAGAGACCCTGACCCAATCACCAAAACAAGAAAACACACCTTGAAAGATTCAAGGTTCAAACTGCGTAAGTTGTTAATACTGTATATGCTCCACAGTAAGTGTGGATGGGCTTGTGCAGACAAACATGTATGCACCAGCAAAAGAGGGAGCTGTGGAAACCGGGGGAAATAGAAAAACTTTTTCCTCGCTTCATTTTCCCATACCTTTCCCTCGCTCTTCTGTGAGATGAAGGCAAAAAATGAGGATTTCAGGGTGTCTTCCTGTGCTTCTAATCAGGCACAAATATATTCCTTTACAGTTGGGAAGAGGGGATGTAAACAGTAATTTAGATAAATTCCTACAATAAAATAGGCAGAGAAAGTAGCATGTGTATATTCACAGGCAGGTGGGGGAATATGGCAGCATTAGTCCTCTCCTTCCCCTAGGCAGAAGGTTTAATGCACACTCCCACACACTGTTCATTCTCTTTCTCCAACCAATTTTATACTTTCTCTTCATTTTGTTTCATTTAATAAAATTCTTAATTCCATGACTAAACAAAGCAACCCTTCAGAGGTATCCCAACCGTACCTCCTATCTCTTACCACAACCTTCCTCAGGTGGCCAAAAGGCCACATTTGTTGCATTTCTGATTAATATTAAATACATGTTTTGCATTGTTTATTTTTGACTGGCAGTCAGTTTTAAGCTGAATTGCAAAGCAGTGGAAAGAATTTGGATTTTTTTTTTCTGATAGCACTGGAGAAAGCAGTAGATGAGAATCAAGCAGTAGGGAAGCTCCTGGGTTTGACCTCTCCTAGAAAGAACCTCCCCCATATGCCGCTGCCATTAGGATCAGCGGCCACTGGATATCTCCTTTAAGTTGCTCTCTAATTTGCCTGAATATGTTTTTTCTTGCTTTTGGAGCAGATGATTATGCTGCCAACCACCTACAAGAACCAAACCCAATGGCAGCCACTGATGATGCATAAGTGCATACTCCATTTTCTCTCTGCTGCTGAAGCACACTGTGTGTGTCATCACCCCCTGCAAGCGATGTCACTTCAGGTACCTGGGAGAGTGGAGTGAAAGAACCAGAGCAAGAGCAAGGACATGGTAGGAGAAAAGAGAGAAGGAAGGAATGCCATGGAAATGAAAGGAACAGAGGATCTTTGGGAATAAGTTAGAACAACGAGAAACAGGAAAGGAATTTAAAAAGTGAAAGATCATAGAATCATAGATGATCTGCAATGCAAGAATGTTTAGGAGATTGGGAAACAAGACAGGTAAATGTTTTAAAAACCAAACAGTCAAATTTAAAGATTTACTTCAGGTCTGCTAAAGATTATTGTCATTTTGAAGTACTATTACAGAAAAGTTCATGTCATACTATGGAATGAAGCTCTTAAAGCTTCATTAAAGAACAAAGCACATTTCTGGAAAGAAGGAAGGGACTGGGTGCTGGAAGCATAGGTAAAATTTTAACACCCCAGTTTCAATAAGGGTATTTCTGCAATAAGGTGTTGGAAAAATCATGACTCCAAGAAGTAAACATATGTCACCTCCATGCTCTGAAGAGCCAGGAGCCACTCATGGTAGGAGGAGGAAAATGTGCAAAATTCACTTTTTTCCATTTAAAACAGCTAAAGACCACCATATGGCCAGTCTGTCTCTTAGCAGGAAAGCATCTGTTCAGATGAATTAGGATTGAAGTAGATGACAAGGTAAGCAAAGGAAAATAAAATGTGAACTGCATTTGAAGGGGGAAGACAATCAAACACAATTGCATAGTTTTCAGTAATTTACAACTAATAGCACTGCAAAATTATTTTCTGATAATCCTAGCATCTACAACAGATTAACTTTGATCTTGTACAGCAGGATTTCACAATTTTTAATGAGCCTGTGTGAGGCTGTGCTATGAATAGCAGAAAAAAATAACATGTAACTGTCTCAAACTCTCTGAGAGGCTCTGATATAAAAATTGGGAATCTACAGCCAGAAAAGCAGAATATTCTGTGTTACTGCTTCTGATGTCTGAAATGCTCGCTATTCAGCCTCATTAATTATGATATGCCACCATTTCAATAACAACATTATAGGTAACTAGTGCCATGAGGTGTGATGCATATTCATTCTTCTCTATGCAAATGATCTGGTGCAGGTTATAATGTCACCTCTTCTGTACTGGTTACTGAATTCTCTACCCTCATATGCAACATTTCAGTGGCTGAATGCAGATTTGTCTTAAAGTTGGACGCCCTTTCTCTCTCCAAGGGACAGGTAAGATGAACTGTCTCCAATTATAAAAATTCAGATTTGCTTCATCCAGTGCAAAAAAAACAACAGGGAAAAAAAAAGAAAGGAAAAATAACAATGCCCACAATGGGCATCACAGAGCTTAGTGCCCCATCCTTCAAAAGGAGTCCATACTTGACACAGGTAGCGCGCCCATGGTTGAGCCAGGAGAGTATCTCAGAAGGCCTATCTCAACCTCAAAGAAGTTTGTCTCTATCTCTACCCAGCCTTGTGGCTGATTTCTAGAGTTCACCGGGCTTTGCCCATTTGTAGTTTTACAAATTCACACCGAGGTATTTACTTTGACCGCAGTCCAAAATCCCTTAAAGTCTGAGAGAAGATTTCACTGACTTCCTTCAGTTTTCAATCAACATTGCAAAACTGTGCCTCTTACAGAGGGTGCAACCATCTTAACATCAAAATGGATGTTCTCCCAAATACTAAGCATGGGCACAATTCTGTTCCCACTTTTTAAAGGACATTTGGGTACAAACTTCCTACCAAATTAACAAGATAAATGCAAGAAAACTTACCACACCACATTTCTGAAGGGTTATTCCAAATCCAGAAGACACTGACATATTGGACACATCTTCAGGCTGTGGAAGAAGGGTCCACATAGTGTATGAAAATATCCTAATTCACAAACTGCAGCACAAGTTAAATTATGTAAATAATGAAATGAGAAAAAAAATTTAGAGGTATTAATCGTCTTCAAATTTAAGAGCTTTGTTATCCCAACAGTTAATTTTTTTTTCTAGTCCAAATTTGTGTGAACGACTTATTCCCACAAGTAATTACTAGCATCTTAATTGATATATTCATCTTTTGGCTATCACAATTCCCTAGCAAAATACACTACGCACAAAGTTCATCAGACTATACAGATCCATTTCATTACTAAGTGTCTATCAGAATTTACATAGCAATCACATAGCTGTATCTGTCACAATAATTCTTTGGAAGTCTCACAACTAGTTGGTGTTGCTGAAGCCATCTCAAGTGAACATAATCACCTGAGACAGAATTAGAAACGTACTAATTGGGTAGTAAATGCCCAGCAACGTTCACTTTTGATATAATTGCTACAATCCTTACAAATATTAAAAGTGGCAAACCATCTTTTACTGACCAGCTGGTGGTTAACAGAAGACTCTCGTTTGAACAAAACCTTCTTTGTCCATGAGGGTATCAAAGCAAACAGCGAATGGCTCCACTGATCATCCGAGGCTGCAGAAGTCAAGAGCCGGTGAGGGGCTTCACTTGCTTGAATGATCAGAGGTAAGGGCATTGCTGAAAACCAAGGCAACGCTCTGCATTAGAGCTAAAGCTGGCTCCTATGCAGCAGCCGCTTGGTGTAGATTCCAGCCAGGGATGGGGCTTGTGGTACCTGGTACTCTGTGTGCACACAGCAACCAGCATGCTCTCCCTCAAAGCACTTAAAATCAATATAAGCAACAGAGACATGAGGCCAGACAGGAAACACAGTTGGGATTTGCCCCACAAAACCCAGCAGGAGTTAGAACAAAACTGCTTCCTACCTGGGGAACTCACATATACCCCACAGGAAACTTCTTGTCTTTTAAATATAAAGCGTCTAATGCATGAATTAAAAGGTTTCAGCCTTAAATCAACTGTTAATATTCTCAACACAAAGAAATTTTCAGCAAAGCATAAATAATTGAAGCACTTTACAACAGGAGTGGCCTCAGTGTTCTACTGTGGGAGGAAGTGGTTTTATTGGACAAAATTGTGGATATATGGGCCAGGAAAAGCTAGTTGTTTCTATTTTACATTCAGTTTTAATTCACTTCTCTAAGTTTTACTTAAATACTTAAACCATTGTTAAACAATGCAACAGACTCAGACTAATTTAGGGACTGTAAAAATAACAAGATAAACTTGGCGACAACAGAAATATGTATAATTACAATACCAAATGTTTGCATATCTTCGGGGTTGGAATTTTTTCAGGGTAATCATGCATGGCATATTTCTGTTTCAAGACTAAGCCACAGCCCAAATCACTCAGGACGACACCAGTGCTGAACTGTAAGTGCAGTACAGATCTGCTAGCTACCAATCTGAGCCCACGTGGCCATGGCACTCCCCAGCAGATCCAAGTATCATACTTCATCCCACCTCCAACGGCTCTAAACCTATGTTCTGACTACTGAATCAAGCCTCTTCACAATTTGGTATAGATATATCCAAACATTGAAAAAGATTCATTATATATTTGCTGTGTCTCTCATATATTAATGCAATTGCGACCCCATTCCTATGGAGGTGGAGCACCAATTCTCTGTTTTGTTTTCCTTCCAGACTACAGGAGATGCACTTTCCTTTACAGTAAACAGAAACCCTGATTGAAGAAATGGAGCTTCTTTGAAGGGCTTTGTAAGAGTCAGGAGTCAAAATGGCAAAATGCATGGGCTCTTTCGAGCAACTACTGCCTTGAAACTGCTTCTTATTTAGCAGATAATTGCCTTCTGTATTTTGGATGAGGGAGGTCAGCCAACAAGAAGGGGGTAATTGCTTCATAAAATATCTTTTGTTCTTGTGCCCTATGCAGCACGACACCTCCATCAGCACACCCAACTGCACTTTTCACGTGAAATCAAATCCTGATACTCCCCTCTGGAAAGTATCAAGTCCACAGTAACCAATTTAATTAACTGATCATGTTCTTTGACTCTGAATAAATCTCGGGATTACTAATTACGCAGATGAGTCTGTTTTCAAGTTGTGCTTTGTCATCACTTACAATCCCGAGATAACATGCCCAGCTCCCAGCAGAAGTCTCCAGGCATGTTATTTGGCTGCTCCATGATCGGTAATTGGAGATTGGGGATTTTGCAGGTTCTTGACATTATGTTAAGCAGCCTCAACATTGATGATGATTACAAGGATACTTCTGCAAATTCACTTGTATCTTCCCAGCACTCAGTGGAAGGTTTTGCTTAAATAGATTCAATCAGTGTGACACATGTCCATACAGCAACATGTGCCACTGCCTTCCTCCAGAATTTTTCTCATCCTTCCTATTAATTTTTAACAATATAGGCTGTTTTATAACGCCCTGGTTTCCCTTGCCAGCAAAGCAGCACTTTTCTATCTCATTATTTTTTGTAGTATCGACTGTCAGTTAAATAAAATATCTTTTTCCTGTCCACATATATTTAACTGTCACTAGAACATTATACAGCTCAGTCCAGCTGACCTACAAGAACATAACTGCTTTTCCACATAAGTTGCTGCATACTCTTAACATGAAGACAACATAATTGTATTTATCAGTTCACCTGCTGTCTCTTTTCAGATAAGGTCCTAGACGGATTGTAGATGGCTGATGATTGCTTGAAAAGCAGGACACTGAGTATCTGAGAAAGGACGGTACAGGCATAACACATTCTGTGGTTTTCACGTCTATTCTAGATTTCCATTCTGAAATAGTTTTTTTTTTTAACAAATAGAGTCATCTGAGGTTGGAAAACACTAATACTTGACTCCTGAGGTCTTTCACTAACGAGCATCGAGCTTTCTTTTGCATACCCTGCTGCTCAGAAGCGCAAGCGCACCATTGTTACTGCCCCTTCAGAGGTGCACCCCAATTCTGACACCGACTCTGCGGTCTCCTTGTTCCCTCCACTGTCTTTTCTTCTTACAGCTTCAATCTTTGCCATTTTTCTGGCTGTTTTCAGAAAAGCTATTATCAGAGCTGCATGGTCTTCACTTCCATTAGCTTCTAAATGGAAACTATTCCCACTCCTTTTGAAAGGGAAACTTTACAAAGCAGGGGAACAGTTTCAGCTTTACGCACAGCCCAAACAGCCCCCACTCAGCGGGGCTTGCCAGGCTGCCACCAGGCACTCCCCGAGTACAGCACCTCCGGCCAAAACATTTCCCAGTGAGCAAACCAGCAGAGCACGAGGCTGAATCTGGCACTTTCCTGCAAACATCTCCAAAGATGCCAAGTGAAACAGTTCATCAAAGAAAGGTGGTAATTTCACTTTCTTTTGAGATGTGAGACAATATCACCATCTTTAAGATGAAATTTTTGTTTTCCTTAATTAAACATTCCACATTTTTACAATGTATTATCAAGTTGTTAAATATTTTATCTTACTTTTAATTAGCACATTACTAAAATGGTTTCCCATGATTTAATCCTCCATAAAACCAATATAAACAGATATACCAGAACCCTGTCTTAAACTGCATATTCCTAGCTAATTACCAGGGCTGGTAGGTCAACTTTGTATTGAATTACAAAATGAAAACATGAAAACAAATATTAGTATAGCTGAAACAGTTGGAAGATTGGTGTAACATTTTACCACTCACATTACTATAGCATTCACTCAGTCTCACATATGCGCAGTGCCACAACAATACGAAATGACAAATGCACAGTTGATCAGAACAGCCTCCGCTATTTAATGCTGTTCAATTTTCTTCGCTGTTCTCCCCCAGGTAGTCATTTGCCACTCCTCAGCTTTGTGCACTATTGCTTTGGGTGGTGATCTTTTGTTCTTTTGGACCTCCCGCAGCCACACTCAAGGCACACGCAATACACTTCGGAATGAGAGCTCCCCACTCCCGGCTCTCACTGCATTTGCTTGCTGCTCAGGCTGTGCAAATACCTGGAGGATCTGACCTGGTACAAAATGCACCTACCGCGTGGAGACTGTGGCGACAGTGGGTCTGTGTTCATACGGGCTGGGGGTGGGAGGATGGGTATCTAAGAAAAGAAACTGTCCTCTGTTTGTGGTCAGCATACTGTCCTTTGCTAAGAAATCAGTTTTGTGTAACAACAGGGATCTTCAGTGCTAAAGCACAAGCCTTTACCACTGGACTAAATGGGCTGAGTCCTGAACATGTTAGTGGCACAAATGGACCGCCATTAGAAGGGTAGGTACAACACTATAGTGCCTTACTTGTTCTTGATAGAAGTTAAGGTGAAGGTTATTCTTGACCATGGCAACCAAACAGGATGATACAAAATTAAAATAATCTTACAACAGATTTGCAGCTAAGGCTCCAGTTTGTCCTTAAGGCTCCCATACCTTTACAATACATCCTAACCTGCCAAATCACAGCAGGAAAATGAAGACTCTGACAAGTTTGTGAAATGTCAAGTTCAGAATTAAAAATTACCTGACACTGAGAGGAAAAAAAGCAATTTAACTAAGACAGTCATTCTAATTCTTAGCTCTCAAGGGCTGCATATTTCAAGTCTCACATGTGCAGTCTGATTTGCTTTCCCCCAGAATTTATCAGCAAAGCTTTGAATAATCTTGCTTTATTTCAGTGGGGAAGAAAAGAGTTAAATATACTTGCTTACTATATTTTTGTTGTTGTTGTTGTTGTTATGAATTATTGCCTGCCCTGAAAACCATCCAGGATACAAGATCCAATTTGAAGTCCTTTCAATTACACACAACAATGAACAGGCAAAGGTAGTAATTTACTGTATTCAGTTTTGAATGCTGCTATTAGCTTTTCTTGTTACAAAGTTAAAGAAACTATGGGCATCAACAAGACAAAACAAATCTACTTTCCAGGCCTGTTTTGAGTAAGTCAGAGCAGACTCATACATAACTCTCAAAAATCCATTGTGTTCCCCAAACACAGGGCTATTCTGGGATTGCTTTTTCTCATCTTATCCAGAAACAACTCAAAAAACCTTCCAACAGAAACCCTGAGATCAAGGTGCTGCCACAAACCATATCATTTCAGCACACTGCCATTTTCAATGACAAAGGTTTTATGCAGAAGGTCCCATCTCACTGCTTTCATTGATAACTTCCTCAGTAAGAAATAAAGAGTCTAGTACCTTGATTAAGCAAACCACTAAAAACTTAGCTTTAAATATGTTACAAATTCATGTTTACTAGAATGGGACAATTCTCAATTATAAAATCAAGTATACAATTCAGTGCTTGTAGCAGCCACTCATTTAACACGTTTATTTACCTACTAACAAAATGGCAGTGTTTCATAGAATCATAGAATCATTTAGGTTTGAAAAGACCTCTAAGATCATCGAGTCCAACCGTTAACCATTAATTCTGCCAAGTCCACCACTAAACCATGTCCCTAAGCGCCACGTCTGCACGTCTTTCAAAGACCTCTAGGGATGGTGACCCAACCACTTCCCTGGGCAGCCTCTTCCAATGCTTGACAACCCTTTTGGTGAAGAAATTTTTCCTAATATCCAACCTAAACCTCCCCCAGTTTCCTCTCGTCCTATCGCTTGTTACTTGGGAGAAGAGACCAACACTGACCTTGCTACAACCTCCTTTCAGGTAGTTGTAGAGAGCAATAAGGTCTCCCCTGAGCCTCCTTTTCTCCAGACTAAACAGTCCCAGTTCCCTCAGCCGCCCCTCATCAGACTCATTCTCTAGACCCTTCACCAGCTTCGTTGCTCTTCTTTGGACATGCTCCAGCACCTCAATGTCTTTCTTGTCATGAGGGGCCCAAAACTGAACACAGTATTCGAGGTGCAGTCTCACCAGTGCTGAGTTCAAAGGGACGATCACCTCCCTAGTCCTGCTGGCCACATTATTTTCAACCACTAACAAAAAGATACTGCGTGTCAAATTCCTCCAATCACCCCACTTTTTCTTCAGCGCCAGAAGGTTCTACTGAACTACAAAACCACGTACATTTCCTCTCTCAATGAATGGTACATTAATAATTTGCAACCCATCAGAAAGCAAGATGCGAGCAGCAAAGATGACATTGAATAAATACAGGAAAAAAACATGGAAGCTCAGGAAATCTGAATTATTTGCTTTTGTATTTAAACTAATAAACTCATTTGTGAATTAGCCATGGCACAGGGAAAAGAAATTAGAGGCATCTCACTAGATGACTGCTTCAGAGTGTGTAATTTCTTGGCAAATGCATGTCATGAAATCATCTCTTGGGGAACTGCAGCCATGGGGGGGGTCTATTTCAAACATTGCATTGCCCCTGTCAATGCACTGTATGAGGATGTCGTAACCTTTCAGGGTACTCATCTCCACCACACTTGGTGAGGTAGCCCACTATTTATTATACACATGTAAAGAAAATAAAGACCAGAGACTCCAAGAAACTAAGTGACTTGTTCAAATGTACACAAAGAGCCTGAGGCAGTCAGCCCTCAGACGCAGCTCCTCCAAGCTGTAAGGGACTCCTCTAAGTATTGGGGTACTCTATTTCGATCAGATTAGGCAACTACCACTGGAGATGTTCAGTGTATCTGAGATCAGTGACAAGTATACTTGAGACCCTCTAAAGAGTATTAGCATCCCAGCAACACTTCCAGACCCCTTACATCTATGAGTCTTTAACAACGTGGTCCAGGACAAAGTGTATTAGTTATTGTAATTGCAGAGGTCTTTGAAAATAGCTTCAGGAGTAGGTATTGCAACAGTGTTAATAAATGCATGGAGGTTAAGTTAGCTTCTGAAAAGGAACAAGGTCTTGATCAGCTTTAAGTAAAACTGGTTTTCCACAACACTGGGAACGGTGGGCATCAGGGGGTGCTCCCCTACGTCATTATGTTTAATGAGGAAAAAGGGCTCCTCCTGAAAATGATTCAGAGCAGGGTACGAACTAAGGTCTTCTCACAGGGGATCCATTCTAGATGAGCTGTTTAGGGAGCCTAGAGCACCCTCGTTCCTAACTTCTGAGCAAATGCTCCCCTGTTGCCCAGGATCAAGAGTCCTACTGATGATAGCAGGCCACCAGGGCACAGCTCCAGACCCCTGCCCACCTTCACACCCATGCCCTGGGAGATCTGGGACTCCCACAGTGCTGAAAAGAGAGAGGAAAGAGTTACATACCTGTCATTCCCAGACATCCCATCTCTTTTTGAAGCCACAGATTATCTTTAATAACCTAAAGTTAACACAGAAGAGAGCAATTATCAAAAAGAACTGTTTTCATAAATGTCTAATATTGAACTCTTATGCTGAATTTATGCTTCACAATTAGACAGAACCCTGTTCCACAATGCCTCCAGTTTCCCAAAATCAACTACCAGAAGAGACACAACACAGCTCTACAGGTCTCCCACAGCTCGTCAAGCAGTCTGTCTCCCACTATGGCTATGCACACTTGGGGCTCAAACTGTACTTACACTCCATATTATCAGGCTGTGCCTCTGCGCAATAGTGGAGCAGAAGGGTTTGCTGTCAGTTTGTTCTTATAAAATAATCTTTCTTTGCCATTTTCAAAGGCAGATTTGATGACACAGGAAACCTCTATCAC